GTCCCCTCTCTGTCTGGACAGGAAGTGAGTCCCCTCCCACGGTTATTTCCAGCTTCATTATGGTTTAAAAATGGCTCAAAGCCCAAAAACTCTCTCACACACACAGACATCGACACTGTAAACCTACATGAAACAAGCCAGAGGAGACCATTTTATCAGCTGTCGAGGACTTTTTTAAAGACAAACACCAGAAGAACTCATTAATATGTGAATTTTACAAAGAAAAACACTGATTCTGTATCAAATATATGAATAATAAAGGTGGTTGACACAATGAAATGTGTATTTACATGCTGCATTCCTCATTTAATCCCACTATTGCGTCTTCCAGCTTTAACTATTTCACAACTAACGCCATCAGAGAGGTTGAGGAAGTCAAATTCTCTCTCTTCTTTTATTCTTGGAGGCTCATTTTTAAAGGATTAACTCTTTAAATATTACAACACAAAGTCATCAGAGGTCAGCCAACACGTGGCTCTGAACTCACTGCACAATATGTGTGTGTGTGTGTGTGTGTGTGTGTGTGGCTGCTGCACACAATCAATAAATACATATATAAATATAGATATATAAGGAACTCTATGAAGCAAACCGGTGGCATGAACAAAGGCTGACCAACACAGGACACTGAACGCATCATTATTATTGTTATTAATCGATAAATAAGCTTCCTGTTTATTGGGAGATAATAAAGTGTAATTAAAATCAGACTTTCACACTCGTTCAATCCGGATTTGGTGCAGAGATCAAACACTGAAACACAACACTCACAAGCGACATTCATCACACCTCATCAACCCGCCTCAGAGCCCCGTGCGCACCAAAGTTGCGGAGAAAAACAACCCGAAATAAAACCCGATCGATTATATATTGGTAATCGATAAGTCTCACCGTTTCACCGCCACAGTCTCTTCTTTCTCCTCCATGTTCACACTGAGCACCGATCCGCGGTTCTGACCTTTAATAACGGCTGTTTATTGTGGCAAAGCCCGACGGTACACACCGAATAACACACAGACACTCCGCTACGTCAACCTGCACCGGTACAGCAACGACGCTGTTTCCGTTATCTTCCAAAATAAGAGTCTAGCTGAGTTGACGTCACTGGCTTTCAATAGGATGTGTTTGAATGTTTTTACGTTATTTTATACTTTAACTATTAACTATTGTTGTCTTTTACTTCCACTACAGATACAGAGAGATATATTCAGGAGGTAACATAATTATATACTAATTTATTATATAATTTTATTATATATTATTTATTATATTGATTCTTTGTCATTCACAATCTTAAAACTCATTAATATTTATTTAATTTCTGTCAGCAATACTGTGGAATATGTTTACACTTATGTTTGGATTTACATTTACTTTGTATATAGGCTCTTATTATTTTATTATACCTCTTAGGCTCTTATTATATGTCTATTTCCATTTTTATTTGACTTTTTACTATATGTATATACCTATACATTCATTTCTATTTTATATATTGTGTTAGATATTGTATATAAGTACTTTTCTTTAATGTTGTGTGACTGGAATAACTGTAACAAACAAATTTCCCCCTGCGGATAAATAAAGTACCTTGATTCTGATACTAATTTAATCACAAACAATCACATAGATCAATATGTGAAAATGAAGAGAAATAAAGATATTTGAACTCATAAACATTTAATTATAGTGGCACATTGATACAGCTAGATAGAAATATCTACAGGTGGCATTAGAAATCAATAACTTGTTGTATTTTCAGATTTTCAGACATTTTTCCAAATGTTTTATTGAACTTATCACTTCTAAAATGTGATTTATAACAGATCATTCAATTTATTTATCTAGATCCACCCCTGCTTCACTATATATTCATGTAACAAATAAAATATGATTAGTGTTAGATTAAAGGTCCTGTATACCCAGGTGCTCTCAGTTATATTTGTTATATTGAGTACAAAGATATACTTGGATTTAAGTCTCCAAACTAATAACCAAACTAAATAACAATGATAAAGTTTAATGTTTAATCACTGTGGTCAAGTAAAAAGTAAAATACAGTAATTTATCAACAGCAATTGATAGGTGATCAACTGTTTAAGTAAATTATCCATAAAAATACAAAGTAATCTAAAAAAGTGAGGAGTTGATTTGAAAAACCTTTGAGTTGTCGACTCTGTTGTTTTTTACAATTCATAGAATAAACAATTGATCAATTACTATTTGCATGAGTGATAAATGATGAAAATATAAACTGAAATTAGGTGAAACCTTATCAAAGCTCACAGTGAAAGCGGGCCAACAGATTACAGCTTTTATTTTGATATAAGTACATTTACGTCCGGTGTTACTGACTGACGCTGACTTGACGCAGCTGACGCTCCCATCACGGACGAACTGACGTAGCCGTTCAGAGGCCACGCCCACCGTCACGTCGACAACCTCCTTGTTGTCTTCCTCCTCCGCAGCCGGAGAGAGGAGCAGAGAAACGGACTGATTCTGTTCGCTCTGCCCTCCATCGGCCAGCAGGAAGGAGTGAACATTGATTTAACCTCAACTATTAAAGTTTACTTTATATGAAACAGTAACTAACTCTTAATTAATGTATTCTTTAGAGCAAATTGTACTTAATCCTCCTTGAAGTTTTACATCCCTGTCTGATGTGAACATTAATCAGCAGACTGAAGAACAGGACATTAATTTAAACCTGGAAAATGGTTAGCTCTAATGTTAATAAAAGTGTATTTAATTTGTATTTGAAGGGCTAAAACATGTAAAAACACTGATATCAGCCCTTTAAAGTTGTTTTTTTAAGTTAGGTTTTGTTCTTTTTGTGTAAAAAAATCTGTATTCTTTTATTTAATTAATTAAATGCTGATACATTTAGAGCAGTATTTCCCTGCAGAAGCATCTGAAACAGTATTTAGACTCAAAACTCTCCATTAAAACAGGAATCACAAAACATAAATTAACACTATTCATTACTTCTTTTATAAATACTCATTAAGAAGCATTAACTCGTAACAATAATTAGTCTGGTTTTACTATTTATTTATGTGTGGCTGCAGTCAGGGAGGAACCTCCATCATACTGACAATATTAATTCAGCCAATAAAACCAATATGGATCTAACAGCAGCTCACACACACACACACACACACACACACACACACACACATACACATACACATACACATACACAGATTGTTTCAGGTTTAACGTTTTAATAACAGATCTCCATATACAAACTGGATACAGTGACGTCATTCTGCCGTTATAACTTCCACCAGATCAGGCATAAAGTGTGTGAAAGCGTGTGTGTGTGTGTGTGTGTGTGTGTGTGTGTGTGTGTGTGTGTGTGTGTGTGTGGTGCATGGGGTAACTGTATGGTGATAATAGATAATGCATATTTTACACATACATACAGAGAAATAAGAAACATACATTAAAAAAAGAACAACCCTTAAAGCAGTTAAAGTGTTTGTGTTCAGCCTGAAATGTGAATAAAAAATAAACATGGAATGATATTTGTTTGTTTGAACGAGACATTCAGAGAATAAATACAGTGTGGCATCCTCATTTATTATTTAAACTTTGTCGGCTCAGGTTTTTTGTCTCATTTTGACTCGACGCTGTTTGGTTTTTGTCCTTTCTGCTCGTGGACACAGCGAACTGTACTCAGGTGGAGCTCCAGCTGGTCCCGTTCAGTTCAGTGCTCATTAAGAAGGTTTTAGACTCTAAGTTCTAACACTTCCACAGCCTCATTAATACAATCACCGTCCCTTTATCCAGTATTTACTCTGTTCTTTACCGTCACCTTTCGCAGCTGGATCTAAACAGTGAAACATCAAAATAAAAGTGAGGAGAAAAGAGATGTTTGTTTCAAAAAGCACAGAAAGTAAGTGGAAATCCTCGGATGACAGGTTGATTAACACGCAGCGTCTTTAATAGAGAGTGTTCAAGTTCTTTTTGTTTTGGAAATGAATTCTTGAACTGGAGGATTGTGTTTAATGGAGGAATTTAATAATCAGTTCAACCCTGTGAATCATTATAAGTTAGACCAATCACAGCTGTCCCTCGAGCAAAGTGTTCAGCCATATATCACCAAACTACTAGAGATTTTATTCTCACGGAAACAAGTTGCCTTCGAGTTTTAATGAATAACACAAAAAAGCAACAAAAAAATCTATATTTTTTGTGATTTTCACTTCAGCTTCATTGCAAAAAAGGGGGAAAAAAGCCTATAAACAACGTAATTTCTTGAGAAAAGCTGCCGTGAAATCAGGTATTTTAGGCCACAACAATCCCCAGAAAATCCTGCAAACTGCCTGGAGGGACCGTGTAACATATGCCGCATTAAACCTTTCTCATTAGAATCTGAAGATCTTCTCTTAAAGTTTTCTTTGGCCAGGTGAGCGACGCTACTTCTGACCTCCTTCAGCTACAGTTACATTAGTTTGTCAGCCTGTCAAGGTGAGGATGTTCTCCACAAACAAACATACAAGCAAAGGGACAACAACTTATACTCTTATAATTTACCAAGTAAATAAGAAATTAATTAGTTTCCAGTATTCTCAACATTTTCCAGTTCTAGTTTATGTTGTTGTTTATGTTTCCATCCCACAGAAAGAAGACTCAAATATTCCATCAAATCCCTTCAAACAGCTTGTGCAGCATAACTCAAATGTTTCTGTGGCAAAACAAACAACCACGACGCTCTGGTGTCAGATATTGGACACCTGCATCAGAATGTGCATCTAATACAATCTCCAATGACCACGTGTGGTTTGGTTTCAGTTCTTCACTCGAGTTTCATTTTAACTTTCGGGGACCTCTAAAAAGAGAAATACACATATTACTTATTATTATTGTAGAGGTAGAAAGAGAACTGCGATCAGTGTTTTCACACAAATCCCACAGAAAAAAAACCCATAATGGAATAAACAAAGGAAAGACAGCTAATGAAGAGTCCTCTCTTTACACACCGACTCTGTATGAACACTAATATACTGACTTTAATGCAGCCAGGAACACATTTGCATCCCTGAGCACCTGCAGATGTGGAGACATTAAATCAGGTTCACACCTTTACTCAACAATGCCCACTTGTGATCAGAATGTGTTTTAATGTAAAAGCCTGTGAACCCAAACATTTAACTATAAAACACTTGGTCTAAGCTGCACAACCTGTTTGGAGATGATTCAAAATATTCCAGGGGAAGTTTTTAATCTTCAGTTTGGATAATTTTAACATGAAATATTCCTTTTAAAACACCCGAAGACGGTCGATCTAGTTCTTCCTCTCCGCTCAGACATCGTGATGAAGCATTAATTTATCCTTAAAGCCGAGATTGACCCCAGAGCTTGTGAGCTCATCCAAGACACACTCAGCAGACATGCCGTTGCTATGACGACAGAGATATGGGCTGCAACAATACCCTCTCACCGGCTCAAAACACAGTGCGAGGGACCCGGTGGTTTGTCTGCGGATCCAAGGGCATAACCTTGGCTCCTGCAGTCCTGGAAGTTGCTCTGCTATTTATAGGATGTATTGTCAGACAGGTAACTTTATAACCCGCAAAAAAAAAAAAAGAAAGAAAGAAAGAAAGAAAGAACACGAAGGCTGATGAAAATACTGCCGGTTTGCTGCACTGTGAGCTTTCAATTGGCACCGAGCTGTCACACAAGGTACAAGACAGGAGTCAGTAGTTTGTTATGGCCCCAAAATAAGAAGCATGTTAAAAGGAAAACAACTGATCCTGTTCAGAAACACCTCGGCAGTCCTTTCTCCCTGGTTGATGGCGCAGAAGTGGACAGGAATGGTTTCACATGCAGGTGTGTTGATTATCAGCGAGGGTACTGAGAACTGCTTCTGAATTCAAACCAGTTCCAGATTTACAACAACCAATTATTCCTCATTAAACATGCCTTTTCAATTCTGCTCATCGATTCCCGAAAACAGCATTTGGACCTGCCATCACATTCCTATCATGTTTACAACATGGAGGACTCAAAAATGAGTCTTAATGTGACAAAAGAGAGTACAGACACAGTGAAGTCATCACTGCATTAAAGCCTGTAGCCTGGTTACAGAATATTTATTTACTGCTGCAGTGATTCAAATCGAGCCAATCAGAGCTCATCTTCCTGTGCCAGTCAGGACGTATAGTGACCACAGAGACACGCCGGGATGAAATCACTGCAGCTGTTGTTACAAGCAGACTTTTAAGAGTCTACAGTCACGCTGGCAGCTCTGTGGTGCTTTGAGCTAAAAGCTATCAAACTCACATACTGATGTTTAATGTTGGAATATATGGAATATAATGTTCATAGGTATGTTTTCATTAGTGTACAGTCAACTGAATATATAAGCATGGTTGTGTTTTCTGTACCTTAGAATGAGCCGGTTTTATCTACAGAGGGAGCGGGTCCTCGTCTACAGAGTAGGCCATGTTGAACCACCATGTTTCTACAGGAACTGGCTCTATATAGGGCCTTTTTCTCCCACACACACGGACGGCGAGCAGTATTCAGTTGGTTGCAACTTCACCACTAGATGCCACTGAATCCTACACACCATCCCTTTAACACGAAGTACAGCTGAGGCTGATGGGAATGTCATTAGATTTATATATTTGATCACATGATGGTGCTGGATTTAAAGTGAGAGGAAGACCAAAGTCAGCTGAATTCATCCTCTGGTAATAAAATTTCATGGCAGTCCATCCAAGATTTATTTGTTTTGAGTCTGAACTAACTTACAGACAGACAGACAGATGTTGTCATCCCTCGCCACTAGCACAGCTAACCGATCTTAAATTGATACAGGCTTCATACAAACTGCTCCTAACAACTGCTGCTGCAGCTTCTGTGTCGAGAGAGCAAACTAACAACCCCTCCCAAACAGAAATCAACCGACACGAACACAATGTCAGACTAAATAATGAAGTTAAAGACCAAAAAGAGTTAGAATGCAGAGTTTTTAATGTCCACTGTCAGATTTATAATGCCTCAAAATCTGCTAATCTCTGCACGTCCAAACCCCAGCAAAAACAAATGTAGAACAGATGATTTGCATGTTCAACCTGTGCATGGCAAATCATCACAAAATGCCCATGGGCAGATTTATGGCAGGAAGCCCAAATCTCCTGAAAAATACAGGTGGTTTCTGCTCGCACCATATTCTCTTTTCTCTCCTTATTCAGGAATCTGAACAAAAAGATACAATAAGCACCAAAAATCGATAAGCAGAATTTAAAAAAAGGATATAAATCCAAATCTCGTTTCCTCTGAAGACGTACCAGTGAATGGAGGGATTACAGGAGCTGTTTCTGCACAGAGGTCAGATCAAACAACACAATAACACTTTGTGTCACTCATGGCAGCTCAGGATGGACTGTGGATTTATTGTATGTGCAAATTCTTGCAAGAGGCAATTCAGGTGCAACAGGAATGGAGTCCAAGACACAGTTTATATGATGCTACACCATAATAAGGGGATTGTGTGTGTGTGTATGTGTGTGTGTGTTTGAGCAGTTTAACTTTCGGAATGTGCAAGAGTGTGTGTGTTTGTTCGTGAGCAGGTTATTCATTAAAGATGCTGTTTGTTCGCTTGTGATGTAGAGGAGAATTAGTATTATTCGGACCTATTAACTTGGGACAGTCAGCTGAAAATGTACAGCCAGCAGCCGCTCCGAATATTGCTCTCTGTGCTCGACTCGGGTCAGTCTCTAAAAAGTCGCACTGGACCCGAAATGCTTCTGCCTCAGGTGACAGATTAAACCCAGCTCGCTTTCAGGGACAAACTGGAGAAACTCTATCACACGAAATAAAAACACATTGACATCTTCAAGTTCCCTAAAACAGCAGACATTCAGTTTTTAACTGTGGTTGCTATGTACAATAGAAGGATCTTCATATATTAATATTCTTCATCTTTCCTGTTTTTTTCTTCATTTCCTTGCTGTCAAGTCATTATTTCCATACACGTTTGTCCTTTTTGTATTTATAGAGTATTTTCAGTATTTACATTATAAATTACTACACAGTCTTGTGATAAAATAAATAAACTTAAACACAATGACCGTGGCTTTTGCAGAGTCTTTTGCATGAAGGGGTACCGGCAGGGATCGGACGAAGGAGGAGGCTGAAGGACGAATGAAGACAGAGTACGGCCTGCTGTTCGCTCCACGTGGTTTCAGGGCTGCAGACAGGAAGGATAAACGATCTCTGTTTGTTCGATGCAGTCTTTGTGCAGAAAATCACCGCCGGGTGAGGTGAAGGCAGAGGGCCGAAGCACTGGGAATACATTTTATTCCCACAACGGCGTGAGGTGGGAAACTCTCCCTGAAGCACAGTGCTACAGCCCTGCCCTACTGCTGACCACCATAATAACATCAGGGATCATTTAGCATTTCAGATTTCCTTCCTAATGTAATGTAAAGGAACAAGTGCTGCCCTTTAAATCTACAGTTACATACACGTGATATTTTTGAGAGGAAACTCTGACCTAACTATGGGTTAAACTGAATATAGACTCACTTTAAAAGTGAATGACTGGTAACAAACAACCTTAAATCCATTACAGAGTCATTTTGTGTTGATTCTGGCTAGAAAGAAAACTTATTTAATCTTTGTACCTGATGTACAAAAAATAGCACTGAAGAAAATCAGAGAATCTGTGGCTGTAAATTATATAAACAAGAAGAGCGAGTGAGTCATGAAATTTGAATTTTGAACAAAACACTAAAATATTTATGGCTGTTGCCTTTGTCTGGGAGATAAGAACCGAGGTTCGAGTTTTAAATACATTATGTGGCCAAAGGTACGTCGATGCCTGAACCTATATGTGATTGTTGATATTAGAAAACCACAGACCTTCCTCTCGTCTGGAAAGAGTTCAATTAGTCAATAAAGTTCTTTAAACTGGGAAAACCATTTCTTTAAAGGACCTGACTTTGTACATGGGGGCACTGTCATGTAGCAACAGGAAAGACTTCCCCAAGCTGCCAAGCTGGAAGAACATGGTTATGTGTAAAATATCATAATTTGCTGTACTAGTAAGTCTTCACTGGAACTAGTAGAGTGTCCACATACTTTTGGCCATATCAGATATATGATCCACTGTAGCTAATCTAAGCCAAACTAACCTGATAAGGTAGCTTGAATCTTTGCAATCATTAATCCCTTGAAGGTAGTTTCATACTGCATGTGCCAACGACTCTGGAAGTGTTTCCCACCTAACTGGCCGTTGTGAGAGTAAAATCATTAAGGAACAGGGTTTGGGTCATGGCAAGTACAGAGAGTAATACTGAGGGTTTAATACTGCAGTGGTATGAAGGTCTCTGATTGTTGGCCCCTAATTTGACGTTTGAGGATCGGTGGAGAGGGTGCTGGACAGAGAGAAGACAACGAGGGAGGAGATGGAGTGCAAAGCTTCTCCTCCAGCTATACCACTGTGCCACTCGGAGAGTTCCCGTTCTGTGCTGTCAAGTTCTGAACAGAAAGACAAAACATAAAAGAAAGTTAGACAGTCAGACGGGGACAATCAGACCAAGAAGATCTGCACTTCACTTTTAAGTGGAGGAAGATAAAAAGCCATTGTTGCTCAGGAGACGAGAGGTGAAATCGTCTCAGACTGTTGAGTCATTTCTGTAGCTTTAGAAGAGGTGCAGTCGGAAACATTCACCAGGCTAAAAACTCAAAACAAAACTGTTTATTGATGTGTTTGCAGACTATCACTGAACTCACAAACTTGATCAGAGTTTTACTGACAAAAGAGTAAAAATATACTAACAACTAACAGCAAGTAGGCTAATGGCTGATTACCATTTCATGATGGACATCCTGAAATAAGTCAAACCACACTGAAGAGAAGTGGAAAGGAATTGAAAGTTAATTAAATACATACCGCCTTCCCCGGCCGTGCCCAGGTGCAGATGAGACCTTCTTGGCAGGCTGTGATGATGCAGTCGTCCATGAACACCAGGACTGTCAGCCTCTCGTGTGCAATCTTCTTGCACACCAGCGGCTCCAGCAGTGGCACCTCATGCATGCGTGGGCACAGCGTGGTGCCCAGGACCTTGGCGGCGTCCAGCCGGTTGCTCCTCGGCGCCACGTTGATCTTATCGTTGCTTTTGCTGATGTTGCCCAGGCTGTGGTACCTCTTGTGCTCCTTCTCCACCCCGCTGCTGCAACCGGATTTGTCCGACTTGCGCTCCTGGAGTGACAGCGTGGCGAAGCGACCGATGCTGAAAGGGGTGCTGTTTCCTCCGGTGCTGTTCCCTCCCCCTCCTCCACCTCCCCCACTGCCCTCTGAGGCACCCTGGCCCTTGGAGGCATTTGCCACAGCGGGGTGGGGCAGAGAGTTAGAGCGAGAAAGGGAGCGAGGAAGCGGTAAGGGGAGCGTTGGTGGGTTGGAGGTGCCGGTGTTAGTGTTAGGAGGGTGATGGTGCCCCTCAACCCCTCCACTTCCTCCCCCACCTGAGGTGCTGTTGACCACACCACTGCCAGAGTTGGATAGCGAGGGTCCAAAAGTGTTAGTAAAGGCACGGGACAGCGGCAGGCGTGGGTATAACACGTCATCCGTCAAGTCCCACAGACAGAACTGGGTGTCCTGCCCCACTGAGCCAAACCGATATGTGACCGACGCCGAACTGCCTCCTTTAGAGCTGTGCCGAGAAAGACGCGACAACGTGCTACTTGTTCGGACCCGGCCAAAGTGCATGGAGTTATTTGGCGCCCCCTGGTGGAGGTCCTCCTCGCTGCCGCTGAGCTCCATAGGCTCATCGTCTTCCAGGGAAGTCGTGAAGGGGTCAAATGCCACCACATTGACCCAGGACTTGTGGCCGTGACCTCTTGCAACCACACGGCTTTCTGCAAATGACCATACTGTAACCAGGTCATCCTCTCCGCCTGTAGCGAGATATTTCCCATCGGGGCTCCATGACACACACAGCAGCCCGCCAAAGTAGCTCTTCATCACCCCCTGCAGCTCCATCGAGTCAAAATGGAAGACGCGCAGGCAGCCGTCCTGTCCCACGCACGCCACATGCACACCATCCGGAGAGAAGGCAAACTCATTGAGGCCTCCCTCACCCACGGCCCATCGTAACAACGGGTTGCGTGGCGTCTTGGTTTTGCAGGCGTAGACGGTGAAGCCCTCGCCCTGCCGCAAGAGAGAGTACTGTGGAGCCGTGGTGCCACATGGGTGGTCCACGTTGTAGAGGTAGAGGTGGCCACTGGCATGGGAGGCCAGGAACAAGTTCTCTGACTTGGGAAGCCATTTTAGACAAGTCACCTTGGATTTGTCTATCAACCTCTGGAAAACAGGAAGGAGGTGGATGGAGGAAAGGAGGGGAAGAGGAGGGAAAGAGAACAATAGGAAGGAGAAAGGGAGATGGTTTTGAGGAAAAATAGGATATGGAAAGAATGGAAAGGAAAATAGTAAACATTTTAGTTTTGTTTGTGCTTGTATGTGTGTACGCAGAGTCTACTCATTGCTAGCAAAATATGTGATTAAAAAACTATTAAGAGAAGCACACAAGCAAGGAGGAAGCTTGGGAAGAGACAGAAGGTCTACAGAGATCAAGAAACAGGCTGCAGCAGAGACAGCGAGGAGACAGACTGAAACCAAGAGAGAGAGAGAGAACCAGGGAGTGAAAGACAAGGAAAGGAAAAGATTGAGAAAAGCAAATCTCAGGGAGGTGAACAGATTCATGCAAAACACAAAGTCTGCATGCAGTAGTGCACACGTACACCCCCAATCTCCTAAATTCAATTGGGAATCCCATTAAAGAGAATCCCATTAAACAGAGAGAGGCAGTTCAGAAGACGCAGTAAAAGAATGTGACAAAGCATGTTAGAGGGAAAAGGCTGAAGACAGTGTTGGAATTTCTAGGCTACATGACAGCATCCAAACTAGGGCAAAAAGAAATCGATACAAGAATGACAAATTACTTCTGATGTATTGTAGCAGGCTTTAATCACAACAAGGAAGCTGCAACCACCGACCACTGCGCAGACATACACAGACAAATATAATACCTCCTCATTGAAGAGTTTACTGGTTTCCTTCTTGATGGGGTCGAGGTACTGGACCTGTCCAGCTGAGAAACCCACGATGAGAGCTACACTCTCTGCTGTGGCGGAGTACTGGTTGAAGTCGTGACACGTCGGCTGTGTCCCCTTGTAGATTCTCTTGTCTATGGGCTTACTGAGGTCTACAGCCTGCAGGCAGACAGATTGGGAAAACAGAGCCATGATGCACAAGCAAAACATCAGCCAAGAAGAGTGAAGGTTCACAAAGTGAGTTTCAGGGACATTCAGAGGTTCTTAAAAAAGGGTTTTCATTTGTCCCGCAGGATTCATTTCAGAGCACACTAAAACAATTTAGCACAGTTACAAATCTGCTGACAATATATCTAACATTTCTGGGCCCATTTGTCATTTGGTTCTCTTATTTTGACAAATGACCGTCAAGTGTAGATGTCACATTGAGATATTTCCACAGCAGCTGCAGCAGAGTTTGATAGAAAAGCATTTTTCATCCATACAAAAGATCAATAGTAAACATCAGGTTTTGGTGTCAGAGTGAAGAAAACAAGGTTTTTCTTTCTAGAGCTGCTTTGTACTCTGACATTCAACATACAGGGAGAAATCCATTAAACAAGATTCAGGGACGCTGATGTTTCTTTCCACAAACAGTGGCCACAAAAGACCAGAAAATAACATGGCTGCAGAGTAATTCTAGACCGGAAACACTCTTGCTCCTGATATTGGTCTACCCATCAACAGCACACCGAAAGGTCACACCTGATCTTTGAAGGTTTGCTAAAGTCATTCTGGATTACACTGTAGAGAATGCTGTCAAGATTTTAATATACACACAAAGCCTCGACGTGTTGGAAGGCAGTCACAATCAACCATAGCACTAATAAAACAGCAGGGGCAGAGAATATACTCATACTGCCCAGTAAAACTTAATTTACTGAGAGAATCTGCAATGATTGAGATCAACAGATTGTCCATTTAAAGGCTCATATGAACACTGAAACAGCTTTGTAATCATTCTTCCTGTTCACCGAGAGCAAGTGTAAGTGATCGGGGATTCAATTCACACTCCTTGTTCTGTTGCAAAATACATTCCTGAGGTTTCAGCAGTCCGTTAGTCGAATCAAGGGGGTATCTTCCAAAGTTTGTTCAGTGTAAAAGTCACTCATTATGTTCGTAGCCCTCCCCTGAAGCTCAGTTTGGGAAAACACAGAGAGGCAGTTTTATTAGCTGAAGCTAAACCTGGAATGTATTTTTGCTTGGAAAGAGGACTGTGGATTCTGTGTGTCATCCATTGGAAGCAGAACAGCCAGTAAGACCAGGAGGAATAATTACAGCAAACTAAAACTGTTTTAAGACAGATTTATAACAATGGTAACCTATTCTTTAACTAAATGTGTGGTTTGAAAGTCAGTTTGCAGGCTTTACTCTTTTCATCAGGGACAGTTTGGGACAGTTTTTGTGAAGAAAGCATTCTGGGAAATGTAGGAAGTCACTGAGTGAAGGAAAAGTAAATGAGGCAACCCAGTAAACACGGATTAGTGATTTAGAATTCAAAAGTCTAGACGTTCAGGTTATCCAGTTAGGACCTGTTTCAAATTGAAATACAGTCACAGAAATGCTGTTGTATATTTATTGTAGATGTCTAAAAACATTTTCAAACAAATTTATCTGAAATTCAGGACAACTACAGTACAGCGTCTTTTCCATTTTGACCAGCAAATCAGTGATTGAATGCTTACTGGGAAGTTTAGGCAAAGTAATTTACTTCTTTTTTACCTACAACCTGCATTCAGACCGATTATTAGAGATTCACCGGTGCTGATCGACCAGATGTGATCAACATTAAATACAGTTTCTTTGTCAATGTCAGTATAAAATTCACCATCACTCACAGAGGGCTGCTGACTGCGTAATAATGCCTTATCACCCTAACCCTAACCCATCAGATCGGTTCTTAATATCGGCACATACCTTCAGTTTAGGTATCAGGAGAGGAAGAATAATATCTGTGTCTCTCTACTGATAGAAATGTCTGTGCTCCTGTAAAGAAGGGCCAGTGAACCCTCCCTAAATCTGCTTTACTCATATTAACACATGAGCTTGCTGTCTCTCTCCTATGTAACATGATTACTGCTGGCCTCCATGTGCCACCCAAGCAGCTGGGCCCAATCAAACATTCCCCTTTTACCCTCTTATGGGCGTCCCTGCTTACTGATTACATGTAAATGTGCATCTGCTCTGAGGATGTATTGTACTGATTAAATCCTGAATGTACAGTACACTGATGGTGATATACAGTCTGTTGCATGTTGTATGAGTTCCTGCAGAAGCCAAAATCAGCCTTCTTACACAAAGCTGCACGAGTCATGAAGACACACATTTATCTGCAATTTATCTACATTTACTGCACTTTAAGTAATTTAATTATGACCCAGAAAAGAGGAAAATAATGAATCTAAAAGAGGTGCGACTGACGGTGTGCAGTGACGGAGAAGCCTTGACATTTCTTTAGAGGAGGAGAAGCTTTTTTTACATTTGTCCTCCAGTTCCTCCTAAATGGGTTATTAGCATTCCTCATTAAGAAGCAAGTGGTGCAGCTATCTGCGAGCAATTTCAGCCCTCTAAAATCCCTGTGGTGCATGCTAACAATGCTAAAAACAAGCTCTGTAAGGAGAAACTGGAGGACAAATGCAGAAAGTACTCACTCCCTTGGGCGAGAGCCTGGTTGAGAGAAAAACATCTGATTCAAAATGTCAAAATCCTCTCTTGCAGGAATAGTAGTTCTATATGATATTGCACTTTTCATTCTGACTTTTAATATCAATACATCATCTAGTGCATGAAGGGACAGGGAGGGGAACTGTGCTGCAGTTTGAGAGCTATAAAGGTTGTTTTTTTTTATTATTAAGTTTTAAAATCAGCAGCATCTTGATTCACCTTGCAGCTCCAAACAGAGAATGTAATATGTGAGGACTTCATATTAACATTCAAAATGCAGCAGAAGGGAAGAAACAGCCTTTAGCTCACATGCTTTCAAATAAAAAAAAATAAAAATGCAGTGAATGGAGAGCTGTCAGACTCTTCCTGTCTGTTTCCTGCTCGTATAGTAACACTGTTGCCCTCCTGTAGCGTCCACTGACACTGATGCACCATTCACTGACTGTTCAGCCACAATTATCAGCCTCTCCATTTTGCATTGCATAACAAAAACAAAAACCTTTAGTGTGAGTAAATGTGCAGCACCAGCAGCTCAGACGGGCTCCGTTTGGGAAGATGACGAAATAAACGAGAACAGCATCACATTAGCAGTGCAGGCTAATAATGCTAAGCTACAAAAAAAAAAAAAAAAAACCCCGGACCATCCAATCTGTCATTCTGGCCAAGAGCGGAGCGAAGAGCAGGCTCACCTTCTTGATGTTGGTGTACGTGTAGAAATACAGCTCCCTGCCGATGTTGAAGCACACCCGCTCCGACTCCTCGCTCGGGTCTTCGGGCTGCAGCTTGACCATGGAGACCCGGACCGGCGGCAGGAAGCCCGCCGGAGAGGAGTTGGCTGCGGCATTGGAGGAAGAGGAGGCGGCGGCGGCGGCGGCGGCAGCAGCGGCGGCAGCCCCGGGCCCCTGCAGTAGCCCGACCCCTCCACCGGGTATCGGACCGGGTCCAGCCCCTGGGCCCAGCGTGGCTCCGGCGGACGGACCCCGCGGCAGTCCGCCCCGCTGCTGCGAGTCCGAGAGGGTGAGCAGCTTGTAGAAGCCCTCTCTGGTCCGGAACTGGGATTTAATCTCATTGATATCCTTCAGAGCGCCGCCATCTCCGGCCATTTTTAGTACAAACAAGCCGCACAGGAAACTGAGATTCTGACCTGGAAATAATAAAGCTACAATAAAAAAAGTACTAGAATAGAAATGGGAGAGGCGAAGGCGAGCAGCAGCTGCCGAGCTCAGCTAGGCCGACCAGCACACCCGGTCTGCTCCAGTGCATTGTACACCAGTACCGGCCACCAAACCACTGCCTACCTGGTAAATGAACCCGGAGAGAAAGCCCTTCTGAGCCGGTGTAAGCAGCATCCTCGACCGGGTCTCTGCCTCCGTGCATCCAGTGTGCGTAAAGTACGTGCGATGATGCGTCGGCTGCTGCTGCTGCTGCTGCTGGCCCGGCCTGGCACTGCGCACTCACACTAATATGTCGGAGGGGTACAGAGAGGGCATCCGGTCCTGGGCAGCCTGCTCCGCGTTACCCCTCATACACAACCCCGGTAAAAAAAAAAACAGCACCACCTTAAAGACATGGGGTGTGCTACTTCACAGTCCCGCCCTCATGGAAATACACTGTAATTTAGTGGTTGTAACATTTACTGCTGTACAAAAGTATAAATTCGAGGTATTTTACTTGAGTATTTTCATTTTGCAGCTTTATACATTTGTCTTTCATCCCCTTCCTGAAAAACAATGCCTGTCCAGATGTGCTGGTTTTTGAATGTTTGTGATAAACTTATTTTTGAATGAATACACTTCAGGCTGTATTTGATACGATGTAGTTATTCTGTAGTTTGGCAGATTAACAGTGAAGAGTGAACAGACATACATTCTCTCATTCTCTAACTTCTAGTCAATTAATTAATAGTAAAATTAAAATATTCCCAATTTTTCTAGGGACCCCCTGGAACACCCTAAATGACCCTAGGTTGAGAATATTTATTATTTCTTCAGGAAAGTATTTAAAAACCTTCCTGGATTAGATGAAAAATGTCACAAAGCTGAAAGCTGAGCTCAGTCGTTGACTTTTTAGAGATACGTGGTTCTCTCAGGACAGCAATACATCATATGTTTGTATTATTGTGTAGATTAAACTACCCAACAAGTATATAAAGTAGTTAAATGAGTTCAACCTTAAACATCTGCAGCAGTAAAATGCAACATACTCATTAATGCAGCAGTAATATTAATCCAAAAATGTCCTGTATAAGAGTTAAACACCATTTTACTGCACAGTGTTTACTATACGTTCTTTACATTTAGCTGATAATACTTAATTTTACTTAAATGTAGTTTTTTTAGGACTTTTATTTGTAGTGGAGTATTTTCCGTTTGGTTTTTTTCCTCTGCTGCTTTTGGGACGTTAAGATTTGCTATGTACCTCTTTTAAATGCAACATAAAATAACTTTTTATTATGGGAAGAGATTATTAGTGCCACCAGAGATAGCTTCATTTGAATTGCAGAAACTTGACACTGTTACATATTAAAAAGAAAATAGCTTTTCCCAAATAAATGAATTCAAATGAAGGATTTACACAATCTGAATCAGAATGCAGAGGCTTGAAATTAGAGGCAGATATTATTGACTGTATGTTTCTCCAACACCTTCGTGCACCTTTATGTGTCTTCAGAAGGCTGAGATTCAGAAGTTGGATTCATTTGTAATCAAATGTTTTGTTTTACATTCAGCAGTTCAACATGAGATTGACAGATTTCTGCAGATCAAACACAATCTGTGGCGGCACTAATGTCCTTCTGTACTTTTTCATAAGGCAACGACAAACAAACTGAGAACAGTTCACTGCTGTAGAGCTGTGGGTAAATATTATACATCATCTTTTCATTACGGGGTGGTCACACACACACACACACACACACACACACACACACACAGGTAGCACAGTGACGTACTCACACCACTTTAACACACAAACAGGGATTACCTGCAGATCCATGTCACCCTGGACGCAACCTGTTCCAACTCCTCCCCTCTGGTAGGAGCTACAGAGCGCTGTACGCCAAAACAAAGAGACACAGGAACAGTTTCCATCCACAAACCATCACTCTGACTAACAGCCCTGTACAGTAACCCCCGACTCTTAATGAAACAGTTCATTTCTTATTCTCCATTGCTGAAAATGTAGTTTCTTTGTATACATAAAGATACGTGCACATAAAACATTTATTTCAGCATCCTTTGCACTACTGTCTACTGTCTACAGATGTTTGTTTATATATGTGTATAACTCTATATAACTGCACATATAAGTCTGTTTATTTATGCTGTTAATCTGTGTTTGTACATTGAGATCAAACGTAAAACCGGAATCAAATTCCTTATATGTGCCTGGCCACTAAAAGTGATTCTGATTCTAACTGATAACCCCTGTTTCCCCTCAGTCAGTACACACACCTCATGTTGTGGTAATTATCTTTATTACAGTGTAACGGCAGTAAGAAGTGTGTATCTTTGATCCAACACTGACATACAAACTCAGGTTTAAAAAAAAAAAACAACACACAGAATGAGCAACAGCAGTGCTCCAGTCCTTTTTTATGCTTGTATGTGGGATCTGAAGCCATATATTTCATTCCCTTCCACGCGGCTGCTGCTGCGATCGACAATACTGTGGCGGAAGGAAACAGATACTCCTCTTTAGTTGTCGGAGGAGGACCTTCCTTCACTATTCAGTTACGGTTTTCTCAGCTGTCTGGATTCTGGAGATTGTTCTGGATCTCACAAACCAAGTTGAAATTAGCATAAATAAGAGCAGACTCCTCAAGACTGAGGGACAAAGGCTACAACACAACGATCCTCTCAGGTCAGTATGAATTAGCAACATCCTTCCATCATTTCCTTCACGACATATCTACTCCCATTAGAAAATAAAATACTGTGGCAGTGACGCCTCCATGCCCGCCAATGTGGATGAAAGTCCCGGGCAGAAGCATTCATATGGAAGCAGAGTTGGGAGTTTCCCATGATGCCTTATGCCAGCAGACTGGAGATTCAGGGTAGGATGACGTAGTTCTCAGCGATTTCCAGGACGTAAAGGTTGGACAACCCCGACTGGTCCTCGGTCTGATGCGTCTCCAAGACAACCATCCTGCAGTGAGAAGGTCAGAGGATGTCAAACATGGATACGGTGGAGTTCAAACCGGCCTAAACTCATTGGGGGCGGGGTACATTTGTAGGGTATACCATAATGTTGGACACATTTTGCTTACATGTAGCTCGGAAACCAGATTACAACTGTTTATCACATCAGACAGTTCAATAAATCTTCAAATGCGACAAGTGTAATATTAGACACAACACTCAAATCAAAGCAGAGCAAAATTATTTAGGGATAGCAATATTGATCTGTTCTTTGGTCAGTCCGACGCAGCAACCTCTGTGGCTGCAACAAGCCAATGTGGAAGTAACAAAAACTGCAGTTCCTCAACCGTCCACTAGACGCTACAGAAGTGAGTCAATCTCTGAAGGCCCCTTATAAACAAAAACAACTTTACAGCAGAAATAAACATGTTTATAACCTGCTACAAAAAACTGTTTTGGTCTCTAGAGCTAAATTAACCATTTATGACAACTGTACAGGGGGTGACATTTTATATAACTCGTTTAAATAATATTAGGGCTTTAAGTTATGTATAATTAAGGGAATGCCCGCTTTGAGTGACAGATGGATGCCGTCACAAGGAGCTGTTTTCAGTGACCAGGCTTCACATGGCGTGCCTCAGCTCCACCCACGCTCCACATCTTTGCCCATTCTTGGATTAGCTGCGAGCCGGCGGAGTCAGGACTGCCAAGGTGGCAAAGGCCAGAGCAAACCAGCTTCACATTGGCTTTTTCAGAACCATCATTTTTAACTATACAGTCTTTAACATACGGTCGGTCCACCATTTTGGTCCAGACTGAAATATCTCAACAGCTATTTGATGAAATTTTGTACAAATATTCAGACTTTTCCTGTAGCACCACCATGTTTACTTTTTTGGCTTTTAGATAAATGTTCACTGGATGGCTCATGTTCCCCACAGGATCATTTGTAAAAGACTTTAAGCTCTTATTTTTCCCCTAGCAACATCAACAGGTTGTCCAGTTCTTTGGTTTACAATTCTGAGTTTAGCTTAAAGAGCGCCACCTGCAGGCACTTTTTTATCAACAGGAAACGTAGGCAACCAGACATTAAGACAGCAACAGTGAGTAAAAACATGCTGTACCTGTCTGACTGCACCAGTCTGTAGATCTTCTTGTGGTCGGTGATATTCTCCGCCCCCTCGTTTATACCTTGTCCTCTCCTCAGCCAACCGTGACGCCATACTACCAGCAGTGTGTCCTCAAAAGGCACTGGACAGACAGACAGACAGACAGACAGACAGACAGACAGGGTCAATGCTGAGCTCTAATCATCAACAATATTAACCGTCACTGGTTTGTCGCTGGATGTTCTCACCTATAGACTCAACATCATGAGAGAAGGTGGTCTCGAGTGGCAGAGGCCTGTTGCTCTTCAACTCCCCCTCCAGACCAACTATATGTACTGACCCTGCGGAGGAGAGAGGCTTCATGTTAGAATACCAACGGCTACATCAGTGTGGAAATAGAGGGACAAAACATAACGTAGAGTTTACACGCTATTGTAGATCCCGTCTGTCAGATCCTTCTCTTGTCTAACAAACAAACACTTGAACCTAATGACCTGAGAACATGTGAACATCATTTTTTAACCACACTGCTTCTTCCCGTAACTGTAGTGGGATCCATAACGGCACAGCCTTTATCTGATTCTTGTAGTGCTATCAGGGATATCCCTTTGAAGCCCCAGAGGGAAACAAAAGGCTAAAACCCTAGACAATGTCAGAAATAACCTCTTTGTCATGTTGCCATGCACATTGGTATTTTCCATTTTCAATATCCCATTAATTGTCTTGTAAAATTACAGTTTATTTGTGATTATTTGTACCTTTGTACAAGAAGCTGCTGCAAATATTTGAGTGTTATACTATGTAATAATATATATTATATATAATAATAAAAACAGGCAGGGTACTGTCTCCAATGTGATGGGAATAAACAAGCCCTATAAAACGTCACATGGCAAATTGGACCACACACATCGGAACACATTTTCCTGATGGATGGAAGCAAGAACAAAAGGGAGAGGATGTTCTTTTCTCATATTTTGTGTCTGGAACACATAATGTATTTATGTGCATCTTGCATAATACCTTTGACATGAATGCATGTATAATCTAATGCAACCCAACACATTATCTACGCAACAAAGGGTCTCTTTGTGAAGCTGATGCAGCTCAGTGGTATTTCTGAGACCACAGTTCCTAATGTTGTGGGTTTTGAATTAACAATAATGTACAGATATTTGTGTTGTTATGTCTCTCTCTTCTCTCTTTATAATGTCAGAAAAAGAATCTACTGTGAGTGCTTTAATATTAAAGGCAAGATGTT